CCGAAGTATAACCTGGTAACATTTTGGCTTTACAACACGATTGTTTTTTGCAAGCTACAAAACGTAAATACAATTTTTCTTAGTGCCTTTCCGAATGCAACCGATGTCTTTCCCGGTACCTGCATTGTTTAATATAGATTGTTTCACATTTTATTGAGCGAAGTATACTGTTCACATTTCGGCTTTACAACACTATTGCTTTCTGCAACTACAACTGATATGTCTCTATATGAAGTATTGAATTATTTGTTTTCACGCTGACCACTTGTATTTCGGTCATTTCTTCCTGCCCCGCTCGTCGCCCGTGATGTAGTAACTCCCCCCTTGAGGGCCTTCGTTTCAACATTTAGGCGCGGACGTTCAAAATTGCTCCGCTGCGCATGCCCAATGTATGACCGCTGTGCATTATGTTCTCTTCTCGTACTTAGATCAGGCTTGTATTCAGAGTGTCCCGCCGGCTCTTCCTTTAATTCATCATGGCGGCAAAATTTAATTGCCAAGATAATCAATTAATCTAGTCTCGAAAATGTTAAAAACAGACGGCCCTTAATTGTTTATAAATTCAACGAATTACATACAGACGAGTCAAAGGGAAAGTTAAACCAATACTTCCTTCGTAATCTCGTGCTTAAACTGTTTGGCCGTGAAAGGTCTGGGTACGAGAACACTTTCGATGTGTCAAAGATTCAGGATTTTAAACACGAATACTCTAGTTTACTCATGGAAAACTTAATTTTCAGCTTTCTTGTTCTTGGATAATTACGGCGATAACTTTTTTTCAGGAAAACATCAGTTACCTTTGGTCATCAGATTATTGTTTACTGTGACTGAAACGGAACAACAATTCTTTTGAGTAACCAAAGTACATTCTCTTCCTATATAGGTTTTTTCCTTTGGTTTGGCGATATCCGATAACGACCTACCACTGTCGTCAATATTCTGGCCTTCAAAGTTTAGAAGTCATCCGTTCTTCAAATCATTGTCAACAAACGTTTCGTGCAATTCGTTTTTTCACACTTTTCATACAACTGAACAAAATTTGAAACGGAAAAATATATCGGAAGCTTTGCATTCAAATTTCAGGAGATGTCTTCAGGTTAACAACATTTCAATTTTCATCATTGCTCTGTTTAACATAATTTAAAGAGAGGAAATCGCTAGTTTCGTCATTTGTCGAATACCACGTTTTCAAAATGTAGCTGATTGACAGCCACGGACCAAAAAACGTCATTAAGTGTTTTGTTTTATAAATCTTGCTCTTTAGTTGGTGCCAAACTAAAAAAAATAAATAAAATGGATTACAATAAATATCTCACAAGGATTATTATAAATTGAGATCGGCTAACTTTCAAAGAAAGAATCCGAGCCAACCGAAAATGTCCTTTTATGAAGTTTTTAAGGAAAGAAAGACTTTGCGTGAATGATGCAGCAACGAGACAGGTGATTACCAACGCCATAAAAAAGTGATATTTTCCCATTGGCTCGGGTTTCTTTTCAGTTCCCCTTTGTTATATTTCCTTCTTATCACCTTTTCAAAAGAAAAAGTTTACACCTGCATGGAAACTAAATGCAAA